TGGTTCCTATGCCTACAGGTCACTGGCCCATAGTTTCTTCTGGAAGCAATGGCACAAGCAAGGCTTCTCCACAGCCTTTCTGGAGCGTAACAAGGTTGCGTGCCCTTTTTTAACACTGGAAGGCTACATTTAGAGACCTAGGTAAATCTCCCATAGAGTCTGCAACATTTAAAAGTGCTGGTGAGATATGACGGTCAATTTGACTTTTAGCATAATTTTAACACAGGATGCCACATGTACCTTGGGTGCCACCACACACTTGGCATTGCATGGGTTCTACAAGCAGACGAACAACAAACAAGCCACATTTTGTCCTGCCCTGTCAGTCCTGGGCTACACCATTGAAGCAGAACTGATGGGGACTGCAGTCAAGATGGACTTTGTTGTCTCTAAATTGGAAGGACATGGATTTGACAGATGGACCACTCGTTGGATAAGGAACTGGCTTGATGGATACACTCAAAGAGTTGCAGTCAATGGCCCGATGTCCAGGTGGAGACCAGTGAGAAGTGGTGTGCCTCAGGGGTCAGTACTGGGGCCAGAGCTGTTTAATATCTTTGTCAGCGACATGGACTTTGGGACCAAGTGCACCCTCAGCAAGTTTGCCGATGACACCAAGTTGTGTGGTGTGGTTGATGCACTGGAGGGAAGGGATGCCATTCAGAGGGACCTTGGCAGGCTGGAGAGGTGGGCCTGCCTGAACCGCATGAAGTTCAAAAAGGCTAAGGGCAAGGTCCTGCATGTGGGTCGGGGCAATCCCAAACACAAGTACAGGCTGGGTGGAGAGTGGCTCAAGAGCAGCCCTGAGGAGAAGGACTTGGGGGTACTGGTGGATGAGAAGCTCAACATGAGCCAGCAGTGTGTGCTTGCAGCCCAGAAAGCCAACCATAACCCGGCTGCATCAAGAGAAGCGTGGCCAGCAGGTCGAGGGAGGTGATTCTGCCCCTTTACTCCGCTCTCGTGAGACCCCATCTGTAGTACTGTGTCCAGCTCTGGAGCCCCCAACATAAGAAGGACATGGATGTGTTGGAGCGGGTCCAG